GTTTTTAAAGATTAATAGGTTTTAATTAGATATTTAGCTATTATACAGATTTTAAACTTCAGTAAGAACCAAATGTTAATCCGGGGTAAAGTGGCAAAGCTTACCTGAAGTAAAACTACCATTTATTTCATGTCAGTTTGTCTTAATTTCTGAAACTCTAATGACATTAAAAGGCATATGGCTTATCTGTATTAAATTAATGACTTTAATGTTAGAAAACACAGAAATTAAATGGGTATATAATGAAAAACACTCAGTGCTCTATCTTTTACATCAAACAGCTATGGGTTAAAATACATATACCATTTATAAATTTCCTAGAGCAATGGCTAAAATCAAGGCATGTAAGCCAACAAATGTCTTAACTGTTCATTCCCATTCACTTCCCCAGCGAATCTCTGAACACAAACCAGAACAAGGTCAGAAAGGACCGTACGCAGCTGCAGTACAAGCGGGTCAGACTTCATGATCTTAGAGGTCTTTTCCAACCTTAAGGATTCTATGATTCTATGAATGGAGGATAGAGGGACTTTGCCACCAGGTTTGATATGCACGTCAAAGTAATGAATTATATTCTTTCGCCACAGCTTTTAGGCAGTTGTTCTCCTACACTGTTTCAAATAAAATGGAGAGTGTTTATTCTTTAGGCTGACAAATGTAAACAAAACTTATTTTAAGAAGGAGTACAAACAAATCAATTTCATAAGGTGTTAAAAATGACAGGCATATTCAAAGACAACAATAATTTCACTGAAGCCACCAGAAAATAAAAATACTCTTTAAATAAGCTTATTGGTTTTGATTTTCAGTAGTATTTCTCCTAACACAAAATTTTAATTGCAGATTAGTTTTCTTTCTCTAGTCCGGTTGATAGATTTGAGGCAAGGGACATACATCATTAATTGTATTGCATAGGGGAACACATTTCAAACAAGAGCTTTTTCTGACCAATGTACTACAGCCTGCCTTATTATTGTGGAATTGTCATTAAATGGAAATGATGCCCGGTAATCTTGAATTTAATGTTATGTTTCTAAATACCATGAATAACATTACAGAAGCTTTAATGAATTTCATAGGAGAAAAATGTCATTTAAAAAAGTAACAATATTAGCCCTCATGCCCTGGACAAATTCCAATCTGGCTAATTGCATTCTGACATATACCCTTTCTCAGCTTGTTGAATTCTACGTGTTTGTGTGCCTTTCTGTTTGTCCACTAATATGCTAATGCCGTACGTTGTCAGCTCATTGCTATCTGTCACTGCATAGTTAGCTGGCTACTGCTCTTAACCATCCAAGCACTCTTAATGAAGCCATAACTACAGTACATGACCTTGACAAGATTCCTTTCAATCTACCTTCCCACAGTTCATCGATTTACTTAGATATTGCTTAACCTAAGAAACAAGCATAGATATAACTTGTTTCAATGTTTGTTGAAACATGCAGTATAACCTCATGTCCCAGTTCTGAAATAACGAGCTTCCAAAGTCCATTAGAACGCATTAGGATGCTGCTCACAGAGGTGAGGTCCCCCACACAAGTGCTTTGGTCCAGATCTGAGTAGCAGCTCCTGATCACCTCCACTCCACCAGGCTTTGCTGTGAATTGCAGCATGGTCGTTGAGAACTTTACCTGAACTATAGATGAAAGTTAAGTGATGATATGCTCCAGGAACATAATTTATACATCTCAGCACCAGTTAATCATGGAGAAAATGGCCCTAGAGTAGAACTTGATCAAAGTAAAAAATAAATTCCCAGAATATGGGCTTTGGAATAAACTCTTTCGCTTTACAGCCCTGCTCCTGTTGGCTCATACTACTTGCTTATGTAAACATATCCATATTTGAGTACTTCATTCAAAAGGGTAGATCTGCATTGTATTATCTTATAGTCTTTGATGTCAGGGTGTTCCATGACTTAAAGTCTGTATTGCAGAGTATTTGAGAAGATACTTCTGACATTGCCGTATTTGTTGACAGTTGTAGAGGGCTTATGGAGGAAAAGATTCTGAAAATCTAAATCCTGGCTTTCTGAAAGCTTTTAAAAAATATAAAACCATGATTCAGAATTGCTTTGATGCAAGAATCTTCAGTGATTGCCTTGATGCAAGGCAGAATCTTCAGTGACAACTCCCTCTAACAGTTTTTTGTAGGTCTGTCACATTAATTTCTAATATCATTCCCAAGATCCTCCCCATGCCCTTTAATCTTGGTTGCTGTTTGTGATATCCAGTTCAGACACTCATGAACATGAATTTTCCTGTTTGGGAGACCAGACAAGATCATCAAGGAGCATATACCATATTTGAATCATGTATATAATTTTACATGCATTGCCAATAATTAAAAGATAAAAGCCCAACAAAACATAAGATCAGAAAGAAGTAGTGCCAAATATCACTGCAAGAGAGTCTTCGTACCACTTAGTGAATACAGTATTCCTGAAAATCTCTTCTACATGTAACTGTAGGTTATCAGTCATATCCCGTTTCTCCTGGGATCACATGCAATGTCTTATTCTCTCAGCAGAACAATAAAACCCGCCTCCTTTCCCATCTGGTAGACAAGTACCCCAGAAGTTGCACTGATTATACAGCATGTTGCACATGGCACGGTTGCTGGAAGCCTGAAGCTGCAGCTGGATTGTCACCATTAAGGTTTTGTCACAGTCTGATTCAGGGGGAAAGTCAATGATCTGGAAACAGATGTGAAGCTTTAAATATACATCATCAGATCTTCAGGACTAATTTCAGGCTGAATGCTGCCTTGGATTTTCTTCAGGTAGAAGAATGAAGACAAAGAAATAGGGGAAGAGTGACAGGATAAGTGGAAAAGAGTAGACAGAATCATGTGAGCACAGATGGTAATGAACAGAAAAACACTGTTTTGTTTAACTGTTACATATATCTGCAAAGAAGTCAGTCATTTTAAAGCAATCATAGTGTGGATAAAAAGCCTCTTAAAATTGCCATAAAGGAAAAATACTTTTCCTCCCCTTTTTGAAACTTCTGCTAAAGATTAGGGAAATTTTTCATTCAGCACTGGGTTGCAACCAAGCTACTTCTAAGATGGTTTCTGTCTGACTTTCTCCCTTACACAACACACACACACACAGAATTCTAGAATCGTATCAGCTGGAAGAGACTTAGAAGATCACCGAGTCCAACCTTTGCCCCAGCCCTATCAATCTAGTGAATGATTCCCCCCAACGCAACATCCACCCGTCTCTTAAATACCTCCAGGAACGGTCACTCAACCCCCTCCCTGGGCAGCCTGTTCCAATGCCTGACAACCCTTCCAGTATAGAAATTGTTCCTAATTCCAAACTGAACTTCCCCTCGTGCAACTTAAATCCATTTCCCCTCATCCTATCACTCTCCACTAGGGAGAACAGACCAACACCTGCCTCTCTACCACCTCCCTTAAGGTAGTTGTAGAGAGCAATGAGGTCTCCCCTCAATCTCCTCTTCTCTAGGCTAAACAGCCCCAGATCCCTCAGCCTTTCCTCATACGACTTGTGTTCTAAACATTTTACCAGCTTGGTAGCTAGCCTCATGTACCTTCTCCAGCACCTCACTGTCCCTCTTGTAGGGACAAGGGGCCCAAAACTGGACACAGCACTTGAGGTGAGGCCTCAACGAAGCTGAGTAGAGGGGCATGATCACCTCCCTGCTCCTGCTGACAGCACCATTCCTGACCCACGTCAGGATGCCATGGGCCTTCTTGTTCCCCTGGGCACATTGCTGGCTCATGTTCAGCCGGCTGTCCATCAACACCTCCAGGTCCCTCTCTGCCTGGTAGCTCTACAGTCACTCCTCCCCAAGCCTATAGCGCTGCTGCGAGTTGTTGTGGCCGAAGTGCAGGACACAGCATTTGGCCGTTTTGAATTTCATGATGTTGGCCTTGGCCCAGTGATCCAGCCTATCCAGATCCCTCTGGAGAGCCTCCCTACCCTCAAGCAGGTCGATGCTTCCACCCAGCTTGGTGTCATCTGCAAACTTATTGAGAGTGCACTCCATCCCCTGGTCATTAATTAAGATGTTAAATAGGAGTCACCCCAGCACTGAGCCCTGGGGGATGCCACTCGTGACCGGCCACCAACTGAGTTTAACTTCCTTGACCACAACTCTTTGGACTCAGACATCTAACCAGTTTTTCAACCAGCAAAGAGTATGCTCGTCCAAGCCAAGAGCAGTCAATTCCTCTAGGACAATGCTGTAGGCAACAGTGTTGAATGCTTTACCAAAGTTAAGGTAGACAACATCCATAGCCTTTTCATTTATCGAGCAAGCGGGTCAGCCAGTCATCACACACACATCAATGCAAACAGAGAGGAAGAAGAAAGGAAACAAAAGGAAAAACATGAGCAAAGATTGCTAAAGACTTTCAGAGAGCCACAGTCAATACTCTTATAGTCAAAGAAATTTACTGCTCTGTGGGGGGGAGTTAGCTCAAATCTTGTACACAAATCAAAGTGAATTCAAGTCTTGCATGTGTCCGTCTTATCTAAACACTAATAGCACACCCACTGGCTTTTCAGGTAATCTTACATGTATTTCTCTATTTTAACTAGATTTTTTTTTGCAATTTACATTTCAGAAAACTTTAATTAAATCTACTACATTTACACCAAAAAAAAATCTATATTTAATGACTAATAATTTCCAAAGAAAATATTTTTTTTCCCACAAAATTCCTTACAGAACCTTATTCCATATTAATCAAATATATAACTTACAACAAAAATTGTGGGATTCCTTTTCAAGTGAAGATGAAGAATATTTGGATATGTTTGGCCAAGACTACTTTAAGATCCATAACAAGTAAATGAAAAGCACTGCAAAATTCTTAATTTATTACCCATCCTAGTGTGTTACTCTTTGATTAAACTTTATCTCGTGCTAATAGTTCTCAGCAGTATTGTAAAACAAGCTACAGGAAACCTTGAGGTAGCCAAGGAAAACCAAGCCCAAAACAAGAGACAAATTGCTTACCTGTCTGAACTCCTCAAGATCTATCTTGTTTCCCACCAATACCAAGGGGATATCATAGGTGTGCCGGACACGATAAATGAGTTCCTTAAATTCAGCAGCTTCTTGAAAGGACTGCCGGTCTGTGATGGAGTAGCAGATAATGAAGCCTTCCCCACCTCGCATATATTGGTCCCTCATGGCTGTGAATTCTGCCTGTGGAATAGGAAGAACATGCTGAGTAACTCAGCAAAGAAAATTATCCATCTGTAAAGAGTGAACTTGCTAAAAACTCCCCCATTCCTTTCATAATTTCATATTGCTTGGTTTACTGTCTTAAACATTGCTTGCTGGAAGTTCTGCATCCTTCAGGATAATAAACTGGGATTTCTCTTAGGAACTTTTTTTTTTTTAATCTTTTTCCATCAAAGGAACTCTGTCCTCAAAGAATAGGAACTTATTATGCCAATGCCTGCACACAGAAAATACCATCTTTTGTATTTCTAGAACTTTCTGAAGCACTTTCAGTACACATAGATGACTTGCAATTGAAGGAATACTAACAGAGCTAACGAGAGCCATATTACTGCCTGGGAGTTGGAGACAGGTACAATCTCCTTATTATGCACTCAACTAAAAAAATCCACATTCCTTGACTTTCACCAGCTTTGGAATAGTGTCTGGTAAAAGTAGAATATAATCTTCAAGAAGTTCTACTCTTCCAAATGCTCTCGCAGAAGGTGGAGGCTTCAGTTCAGTGTGAGATAATACCCTTAAATGAAAATTAACAATTTCAAATAGTGTGACAATTGGCCCAGTTTTCTCTTCCTACATTTTTCTCTATTTATATACGTATTTATTTTCACGGTAACACTCCAGGTATTGTATTTAACAACTGCCTTATTGTACAAAAATCAAGATTTAGTTTTCAAAAACTAGTCTCAGACACTGTGGCTTGAGAACATGTTTTAACGCCAGTTTCTTTTTCAAGTCTGTTTGCTCTTCTTGATCACAACCCAGAATAATCCAATACCATGGCAACAGTCGGTCAGGATCAGAATCCCTCTGACAGAATTAGTTCTCCAGAGATATTAAGATGCAGGAAGGTCTGATAAAGCTAGGAATACACATACCAACATTGGATCATTTCTATGAGCTGTGGAATGCAATATCAAGCCCTGCATTTTTGCTCTGTTGAGAAGGTAGGCTAGGATTTTTAAAACAGTTTAGTTTACATAAATATCTTCAGTTCTTGCTGAAAATTAAAGTGAAATGGATTACTTATGCTCTTTTAAAAGTCTTAGCCTTAAATCTCTTTCAGTAGTCAGTCATGTTGATTGATAACACTTCCTGCGAACAGACTTTCGTGTTGACCATTATCATTTATTCATAATGTATCTTTTACACAAGGGCTTTCTTATATATCATTCAAAATATTTCACCTGCTATAGGAAGAAGTTCATAGACTAAGCTCCAAAATAGCAGACTAATAGGCCATTAAAGGTAGAATTCTGCTTTGAGACTTACTCAGAATTTCTATCACCACTGGCATCCCAGGAGAGTTTATTAACTACCAAGTTATAGCGTAAGGTAGATTGTGTCATAGTCTATTCCACCCTCTTGAAACTGGATGTGCACAAAGTAGGGCAGTGGTGAGGAGAAACAGAAGATGTCAAACAAAAAGATGCTGCACTCTGCTAGTCTGGATGAGACAGTGAATGAAGAACTGTCTCTGTCCCCAGGTCTTTGCCTGCCATTAACATTAAATACCCACAGGAATAATAAACATCACAGTAACAAACTGGAGACCATACCTGAGGTCTCCAAGTCAGGGGCAGCGTGTCTTAGTGACTAAACATGGAGACATGCGAGAACAAGGGTCTCTCTGCAGCTACCTATTCCCCGTCCCCGCCAATTCTCTTCTCTTTGCATTCATCACCTAGAGCTGTTCTGCAACGTAACAAGCAGAGCAGTCTCCTTTATAGGAGGAGCTGAACAAGACCAAGATCCCTTTGGGCTGAGTAGACAATGGAAACTTTATGTGGAGTTAAACTTGTGGATTAAGGCTCCTGAATTCAGCTGTCTGTGTAAACACAGACCACCTTCTAATGCCCCACTACGGATGATGGTAAGGTAGCCAATGCAATTAACAGACTATAGATCAGTACTGCTGGTGAAAAATAAGTAACTCTTTATTTATTTAATTATCTATTTCTTGTTTATATGTTTTAGAGTGACTTAAACATTTATAAAACTAAATGGAACCACTAGATACCATGTCAACAACCAAAAGTAGATGTTTTTTTTATGGAACCTAAATCCTCATCCAAAAAGACCTGTCTTCCTGAGTTAGAGATTCCATAACTCAGCTACTGTAGCACCACATGATTATTCTGCACAGTTTTAACAAATAATGAGCTCTGCTTAAATGATGTGATCCACCTCCTGCTCAGAGCTTTGTACACCCATTTACAGCCATTTATGGCAAACTAAGAAGGAATTAGGTCACATATCCCCATTTAAGTTGCTTGCAATAAGTGACCTTCTACAGCACGAGGACTCTCAGGATCACTCCCCAGGAATGTTTAGTGGATTTCCTTGGCTGCCAGAAGACTCTGCATTTATAATTTTACAAACTGAATCATTTCAAAGCTTTTAGGTACTGCCCTTGCTGAGTTGGAGTCATTTCCTCACACATTCTGGTTCGTGTCTGGGCATAGTTATGGCTTGAAGGATGTGAATGAATTTACTTCTGCAAATTTTATTATGACATGTTATTGCTGCTGATATATCACACTCAATAGCCAAAATACTTTAGTGTTATGTTGGTAGAAATCCATTTTCAGGAGCATTAATTATTTTATGTAAACTCGATTAGGGACATCCATTTGGTTATCTGTTGTTAATTCAGTCATTTCCATTCTTATTTTTTCAAGTTGACTTTTACTTCTCTGCTTCTTTCCTTTGGAATGACTGCTCATACAGAGTCAAGGACTTCAAGGTCAAACATAGTAAAGGCTTTTCTTACACCTGAAAATGGTGTTTGTTCACCAAGAACTCCCACATTATAGTATACATTGTGAAAATAAATAAATATCAGTTTCAATAAACATACTGTAACTCTTGTAATAATGTGTGCATATTCTATATATAACACAAAGAACTAAAATGTAATTTAATTTCTTTGTTCATTTTTTAGTTGAAATCCTACTCCAGATTTCAGTTCACCTGTATCTCTACAGTAAGGAAAACCAGAATCCACATTCGTGTGGGCTTTGAGGATGTTCAGAGGTAGATGAAGATACGTCTAAAGATTTTACAGATATTTCGGTGGTTTTATTTTTATATTTTTGCTCAGTTGTCTTTTAAAACAAGAAACCATGTATCTATGTAGCTGGCATACTGATAGCCTCTTTAATTGTTTCCTGCTGTAAAAGCAACTTTTAAAAAATTATTCAAGAATAGTACTAGGTGCCATTTGCTACTCAGTAAGGGGAAAATATGAAACTCCCAAGACAGTAGATGCCAAAGGGAAGAAACAGAAGGAAATCACACCTCCTCAAAAGGAAATCAATTCTGAGAATAAAAGTGAAGATTTGTCATGCTTATAGCACTTTGCAGCTTGACATCCGTCTCTTGTGTATTATGACTAAGACTTAACTGAAAAGTGTGGTAAGAAATCTTCTGAAATAAAATCACCATTCTTCTTGGGAGAGATGTTGTACTTGAGAATGAGCATAGAAAATAAAATATTCTAAAAGTTGAAAGAAGGCAGCATAACCTTATCCATTTCTTTTTCTACTATAATTGAAAATTCTGATACTAATTCTCATGTCATTATATATGCTTACCTGTTTTTGAAGAAAATTAGGAAGAAAGACCTCTCAGTGATAATGTTGCTCCTAAATAGATGTTGCATCTGGCTTTTACCAGTTATGAGGCATCTCACAAGATTTTTCAAAAATGACAGAATAGCCTCATAATGACATAGAGTAGCTCTCTCAGCATGCTCTTATGCAACCTGTCCTTGTCATTGCTGAACAGCATACACCTAGCTAATTTGTGCCTTCATAATCCTCCTCTACTAAGGGTAGTATACCTCTTCCTCAACCTGCAAGGCATAAAGACCTGGGAGGCATAAGAGCACAGCTGGCCTATAAGTCCTAAATCTAGTCATCTTTTCCATGTTCCTTGTCACTAGGCCATTCACTTTCTTCTTCAGCAGCCCCAACTTTTTCTTGGTCTTCTTTTAGTTTTCAGAGTACCTATAGAAACTTATCTCATTGCCTTTTATGTCTCTGAAAAGTTTCTACACTAACAATATTTTGACTTTCATAATCCATTCCATTTATATCCAAAAAATGCTTCCATACTTATCCTCAGGAGACTGTCCCTATTTCCACATTAATCTTTCTGTATAGGCTTTAGTTTTTCCATTAGCTTTTAGGAGAACAATTTAGCAAGGAAGAAAATACTTAGCCTCTTTTTTCCTCTATCATACTGAGTTATCCTCTTTTATTCAACTTTTATACAGCTTTACATAATAAGCAAAAGAAAGATTTAATAAAGAATAATATTTTTATTTGATTTCAAAATTCATGTTTTTTTCACAGAGATATAAGTAGAATTTGCACATTATCTTTTTTTTTTTCCCCCCACTGGAGATTGTAAGCCTTTCCAAAAAAAGATCTATTTTAATGTCTCCAGAAGAGGAACAAAGACATTGAGCACCACAGTCAGATAGACTGCACTTAGTTTATAGGTTGCTATCAAATATTACAGTCTGGAACTGATGTTCAGCTCTGGACAACCCTAACTTGATGACTGAAAGAATCTAGGAAGATATATAAAAAATTCATTGAAGCCAAGCTTTTCTCTTTATTGTTTCCTAAGTGTTTCCTCCAGAACACAGCCGGAGAAAGAGCTTGAAAAGCTTTTATCCAACTCAGGACAGAAACTACTAAGAAACAATCTCTTCCACTTCACCATTTTACATGCACAGAACAGAGAACTGAAGCCAAATCTCATGGATCCTTGTCTTACACATTGCTAACAGATAGCCTTGTAAATAAAAAAAGGATAAGAGAAAAAAAGCAGGGGGGGAGGAGGGAAGAGAAGAACTAACAAAAAAAAGGGCAGTGAGCAGGAGGTCAACATCCCTGTTCCTTCTTTTCCATAGTATTGTGATGTGTTTGAGAAGTAAATACAGTGCAACG